AGCCTGCTCTATTCTGGATCTAATTTCGCCGTGATTTTCTGCATTACAATTTAATTGCTGTCCAAGGTAGACGATTTTATCAACTTGCTCAAGTTTGGTATTATTTACATAAGACGGTTTTATATTCTGTTGTTTACTTATTACAAGTATTTTGGTTTTCCTTATGTTAAGATCCAGACCTGCCTCCCTACAACTCTCAACGACACTATCAAGTAGTGTTTGCAGATCTTCTGGACTAGAAGCTAGGAGTACTGTATCGTCCGCATATCGCAAATTATTGATGACTTCGCCGTTCACAAGTATTCCTTCTTGTTTTTCAGAAAGTGCTTTTCTTTCGGAGTAAACGTTAAAAAGCAGGGGTGACAAGAGGCATCCCTGCCGTACTCCTCTTTTAATATTAAGAGCTTGTGATTCCACACCATCTACTAAAACTGATGTTGTTTGATTCCAATATAAATTTGCAATTATTCGAACATCTCTGCCGTCCAAGCCAATGTCTTTTAGAGCTTCGATCAATATAGAGTGCTTAACGCGATCAAATGCCTTTTGAAAGTCAATAAAACAACAGTATATGTCTACAGATATATCACGACATCTTTGAGCAAGTACGTTCATTCCAAACAGTGCCTCTCTCGTTCCAAATCCGTTACGGAAACCAAACTGAGTGTCATCCAGGTATTCCTCACATTTATTGTAGATACGACCATGTATTACCTTCAGAAAAATTTTCAATAAGTGGTTAAACAAACTGCTGGTTCTATAATCAGCACAGGTTTTTGCTGTTGTCTTCTTAGGTAGAGCTATAAACAGAGAAATAGACCAACCATTAGGTACTTGTCCGCTGGTATAAATGGTATTGAAAAACGAAGTTATAGCCTCTAAAACATTGCTATCCTTTATAAGCTTATATATTTCAGTTGGAATTTCATCAGGACCAGTCGCTCTGCCATCTTTTGATGATTGTATGGCCTTTATAACCTCACAGCGTGTTATTAGGGGTCCGTCGCAGTTAGTAATATCGGGAGGTGAACTACTCCTATCGTCTTCGATAGGTTCGTGACGTAATTTTCCCATTATTTAAGTTTGTCACACAGTATTTCTCACACAGATTTCTTTTACTATCGTTACGATTTTATTTAAGCCCTCATCGCAATATATACGCAACAGTTCTAATTTGGCGTGAGACATTTTAAAAGACAACAGTCCAATGAAATAATAAAAATCCTCACTGCTATTGAGGAAAAAATATTACACAGCTGCGTTCTTAGATGTAGAAACGTATGATAGGGATGATACAATGAACTCCGTATTAGGAGGTTTAAGTGTCTAAAGGGCTCACAAATGGGCCCTGCTCCGATCTACCATAACCATAAATGTAGAAAAGGAATTTGATAGTCTGCATAATGGACTGTTATAAAAACTTCTAACTCTCCACTACCTGAATATATCAAATATATGATTTTCCAGGTAAAATATAACACACAGTCTTCGACATACTTTCTTATTAAATCAGGGGTGCCACAGGGTAGTGCTAGGTCCTTTCCTTTACCTGAAATTTACTGCAGACATCCCAACAAAAAATGCAACAGAAATCTCAATATTTGAGCCAAAGAGGTAATTGTTACCAAGGAAGACCCCTTCCAGTCATCCACACAGCTACAAAACCAGCTTAACCAGTTCGAAATATGGCTCAAGAGACGAAAAGTGAACGTAAATAAAAACAAATTAACTGAAGTCACTTTCAAAACTCAAAGACAACTGGAAGTGTCCAACAACAACAATAAATGACACTTAAGTTAAATTTTTAGGACCAACGCTTGACAAGATTACCATTAAAATTAGGCAAATGAGTTGGCTCATAGGTCGAAAATCAAAATTGACCATATAAAATAAGCTGCCCTCATAAAAATTTATAAAATCGTTTTGGACTTGTTGTATCCAGTCTTGGCGTTACCCAAAACCATCAAACATTAAGATAATAAATGAAAATACTGATATGTTTTTTATACACACTTATGATAAATCAAAGAATGGAATAGAAAATTATTGTTCTGTTCCAATTCTGTGTGTAAAAATTTATTTCCTAGATGAGCGTTTTCGGCTTACAAAGTAATCCTCAGAGCTTTAGTCAAATTTTAGAAAGCAATACTACACAAGAGAGATCCCATTTGGTGAAAAAATTCACAATTTTCTCTTTTCTTTAAAAGTTAAAAGTTAAAAAAAGTTAAGTTATAAAAACACATAAAAGACGGAACATTGGACTCAAAAAAAAACAAATTAAAAAATTTGTTTATGGTAAGGGTATAAGAATCCGACCATTTGGTTGGAGTTGAAGCGGCTTGCCGCTTTTGTTTTTTGTGGAGTCCAATGTTCCGTCTTTTCTGTGTGTGTGTTTTTTTACAGAACTATTATAAAGAAACGGGAAAATTGTGGATATTTCAACCAATGGTATCTATTTTGAGTAGTGGTGTTTTTAAAACTTGACCGTAGCTCTGAGTATAGCCGAAAGCGCTCAGGTAGGAAATAAATTTTTACACACTTCAAAAATACTTTTCTTTTGCATTCTTTGATTGGGATAGTACAAAGATTTAAATCAAAAATAGTAAGAATGATGTTCAATACTCTCTAATTTGTGAGCAATAAATTACACAATGAGCTTTACCTTTCGTATTGGACAAAATGCGAAGAATATTAAGAAATTACCTTGGCAGACTGACAGCTCATCAAAATGAATAGACTTCTAAAAGTTCTACCTGGATTCTCTAGACGACTGAGTAAACTGTGACCAACAAGTTTAATAAATTGTACTGTGTAAATTAATGTAAAGTGTATAAAGGAGGATTTTCAGAGGCCAGCTTATGTCTCATGTGTGAAACTTCAAGGCATTTGCTTATAGTTTCAAATGAAGCAGATCGTAAGTTAAATTGTAATAATAAAAAAGAGGTAGCGTAGGCTGTACTGTAGACTAGCGCAAAGCTTCATACTATGTTTTCTGCATTTTAATAATTTAAATATTTTAAAAATTTAAGAAAGTAATTTTATTATTTTAATTACACGTGCAATTTTAATAAACACGGGGTGAATCAATCTCAAAACAAAAAAATAATGTTTAAAAATTACATAAAACCGCTGTTAGTTAATATCCTTGTTACAGATTTTAATAAAATTGAAACAGTTTAAATGCTGTAACAGTCTCTCCCGTTGCGTAAATGGATTCGTTCCAACTGTTCACTATGACTGCGAACCACAAATCGATCTTTCGTATTGTGGCGCTACTTTTGTAACGTTCGCTTCAGCTAACTTTTTTTTTTACTATAGAAAGTAATACAACGCTATTAGTATAGAAGCTTCGCTTCACTATATGATTTGTGGGTTATAACATTTGTTATACAAATATGTTTTTTATAACAGTGTGATTCAGTCTTGAAAAATCAATGTAAGTAATAAACTGTACGCCAAAATACGCCCAAGGAATACGAGTAGCTACGTGACAGTGATTTCATCATCATCATCACAGTCATTAACATCGTAGTAGATGTGTTGTGGTTCATAATTGGGCTTCAGCAGCTCGGACAGTTTGATTGATAATATTTCTCCACTGGTCGCGGTCATCAGTTATATGTATTGCCTCAGTATACTGTTTATTGAGAAGCTTTTTAGTAATGTCCGCCCATCGCTGTGGAGATCTTCCGCGTTGGCGTTGAGTCTGAGGCCTTCCTTGGACCACCAACCGCTCCATTTTGTGATCACTTCGATGGATATGACCAAAGAACTTTAAAATTCTAGAGTAAACGGTACTGGAGAGACGCTGATCCGGTTTAATTTCATCCAGAACCGAGATATTTGTACGGCGAGCCGTCCATGGAATTCGAAGCAGGCGTCTCCATGTCCACATTTCAAAGGCGTCTGTCTAGACGTCGTCGATCTGATTCTTTGACTGTCCATGTCTCGCATGCATAGTAAAATATGGAAAAGACCAGAGTTGAAACGAGTCTCTTTTTGTTTGTCATAGTAATGTGACGATCACGTTAGACCCCGTTTAGTTCACTCATTGCTGCTCTTGCTAGTTGAATGCGTCTTCTAATTTCGGATTCACAACTGCCTGTGTTGTTAACTAGAGCTCCAAGATATATCATAGATGAAACTACCTCGCATCCCGCAATAGTTTGGGTTTCAGGAAACTGTTGTTGGCGATCAATAACCATGATTTTGGTTTTGTTGTAGTTAACCATGAGTCCAAATTTAGCACTTTCTACCTCGAGTTTTTTTAATAATTTAATAATTTCTTCTTATAAGGCTGTATAGAACACTGATAGTCCCCGTTCTCACATACGGATAAGAGGCATGGACGCTAACGAAAACAGATGAATCCGCTCTATCCATTTTTGAAAGAAAGGTGCTACGCAAGATATTTGGAGCGGTCTGTGAGAACGGAATATGGAGGCGTAGATATAACTTCGAACTGCAGAATATCTACAAGCATACGTTTGGTGGTAAAGATATTACCACGATAATTAAGCGAAACCGCCTGCAATGGGCAGGACATGTAGCCCGGGCCCCTGAATCGAACATGATAAAAAAGATTCTAACAGCGTAACCTGTGGGAATGAGACAACGGGGTAGACCAAAGCTAAGGTGGATGGATGGAATAATACAAGATGCGGAGAAGATCGGAGTCCGTAACTGAAAAATGCAAGCAAGGGACAGAACAGAATGGTGTAGAAAGCTTGAGAAGGTCGAGGCCCTCTAAGGGCTGTAGCACCAAGATGATGATGATGAATAATTTCTTCTGGAGTAGAGGCTAGAAGTGTAGTGTCGTCTGCGAAACGCAAGTTAGATATCTTAACACCACCTAGGTTTACTCCTCCCTCCCAACCATCCAAAACTCTGCGCATTATGAACTCCGAATAGATGTTAAATAATAACATGACAGTGATTTATACTCTCTTAATTCGAAATACAGTTTAGATATATACTATATTATTAATTTTTTGTTACAGTGTTATTTCTGCATATAAAAATATGTCTGACCCCGAAGTAATCTTTATCAATGGAAATAGGTCATTTAAAAAAGAGTGTGAGGAACTTTGTGCCATTGTTAAACCGTTTTTAATAGATTAATTTCGTTGATAGTTCTTTATTAAAACTGGAACAAAGTTTATTAAATTTATATATTAATTTTACTGTAATACATTACCATTTTGTATTAATAAATTGTATGGTTTAAAAAAATTTTAATTAAAAAAAAATTAAAAAACATGTTTTTGTTTTTAATAAAAATCCCTAAAATAGTTTTAAAATGAAAAAAAGGAGAGTCCTAAGAAACACTAAAATCAAAGCAGGAAGATGAAGATTTCTGCTTGCATTTTATTTCTTAGTATTGATCAGTTTCTTTGCCAATCTATTTCAGGTAATTTTTAGTTGGAATGATCCCGATCCTAAATGGCAAGTAAGAAACCTTCTGTCTTTCAACACATTATTCCTGATGTCAACAAATAGTTCGACGCAGCATTATCGACATATTCTTGCATCCAGGTACGCATTTTTCTTGCTTAGACCAGTGGTTTCATCTACTGCGCAAATTGCGCAATGTAATGTAAAGTATGTCTCAGCCTACGTTTGAAAATAGGTTCTTAAATTATCAACCTATTTATCCAGTTGCTCTTCTATGCCCATAAGTCTTCTTCCCCCTAGATACCGCTATAATGTTGTCCTCAAAATCAATTTTATAGCCTACTTACGGTTTAATAGATATTGTAAATTGTGTAATAGGATAATTTGAATTGCAATTAATATTTAATTCTTCAAAATCATCCTCAAACATAAATGTTGGCTAAAACAAAACTATTCATTCTCTTCTGGTTCATCCTCAATCTGAGGTCACACGTCTTAGAGTTGAGAATGATCGTTCTGTAATGTAAGTCGTCACTGACAGGACACCCAATATGGCGAGTAACTCATTTCTTCTTCTTGTAGTTCCTTTTACCTATCGGAGGTTGGCCATCATCACAACTATCCGTACCTTATTGGCGGATGCTCTAAAAAGATCTACTGAGCTGCAACTATACCACTCTTTTAGTTTTCTCAGCCAGGAAATTCTTCGTCTTCCTATGGATGTTTTACCTCTGTTTTTACCTTGCATTATGAGTCTTAATATCTCATATTTCGTACCTCTGGTAATGTGGCCTAAATATTCCAGCTTTCTTGTTTTGATGTGCTTTATGACCTCGCAATCATTTTGTAGCCTTCTTAACGCTTCTGCATTTGTAACTCGTTGGGCCCATGGTATTTTCAAAATCCTTCTATAGCACCTCATCTCAAATGATTCCAACAAAGTCAAGAACACGTAGCATCTTAAGGCTCTTATCCTCAGATCCAGAGGAAGGTCTCGATTGACAAACATTGTTTTCATTTTTACAAATGCTTGTCTTGCAATTTCAATACGTGTCCTTATTTCTCTACCTTGGTCATTGTTTTCATTTACCCAGGTTCCCAGATATTTGTAGGTATTCACTCTTTCTACTTGTTTTCCCTCGATATCTAGCCTTCCTACTGTATGTTGCTTAGAAATAATCATGCACTTGGTTTTCTTAACGTTCATTTGTAGTCCATATTTGATACTGACTTGATGTAATCTATTTACTAAGCTCTGCAATGCTTCTAGACTGTCTGCAAAAACAGCTGTGTCATATGCGAATCTTATGTTGTTTAAGATTTTTATGTTTAAATCATGAATGTGTTGCTTGTGTGAGTCCATTTCAAATAGGTAAAGAAATAATAAATAAGACTTACTCACAATCAATTTAATTTAACTATCCGACGACCGGTTTCGCTTTCTACAATATGCAAAGCATCCTCAGGTCTCGATACAAAGTTAAACAACTGATGCCGGTACTCTATTAATTGATGGATGGTAGAAGATGTGTGATTGTTTGTTAAATGACACACACATATCTCTTCTTCATTGGATCAAATCTATCTCCTCAAGAACTTCCCGTTTACTGTCAAACAACTGCAATAACAGAATTGAGTTCTCCATTCAACAATACATAGTAGTTTCAACCATGTTCTACCATCCATCAATTAATAGAGTACCGGCATCAGTTGTTTAACTTTGTATCGAGACCTGAGGATGCTTTGCATATTGTAGAAAGCGAAACCGGTCGTCGGATAGTTAAATTAAATTGATTGTGAGTAAGTCTTATTTATTATTTCTTTACCTATTTTTCTGTTTATTGATATAAGCTGTTGTTCCTCTGATATTGCTTTCTTCAAAATAGCTTCGCTGTATAATAACAATGGGGACAGTACGCAACCCTGTCTAACACCTCTTTTGATTTCTATTGTTTCTGTATCGACATTTTCAATTCTAACCTTTTGCATTTCTAATTGCCTGTTCTAATTCGCACATTGTTGTTTTCGGTCCTGTTTGTTCCTGTGGTTCTTCTTGTATCATTCTATCATCTTCGAATAGTTTCATTATGTATTCTCATTAACTCAGTATAAATGAGTAACTCATTTATATTTGGATAACATTTTTGGATATTTGCTGCTTGTGTGCAGCAAAGCTTCAATTGCGGTGGGTCTTTCAAAATTCAAACCACAGGTGTAACTCTCCTTTAAAGTCTTGAATAGTTCCTGGTAGGCCCAATCCGTAAATGGTAGCAGCTTGTTTTATGATATCAGTACTGCTTTCAGAATCGCAAGAAAAATTAGGAGTCAAGAACTGGAGTTTCATTATATACATCATTGTGTGTAAGAAGAAACACATTGAGACCGTAATAAGCTTTAGGAGAATTAATAGGAATATTATTGCGATGGGTTTGTCTAGATGGAACCCGTGGTACATTCACTTCTGTGTCTGCAGAATGAGCCAATGTGTCAGACTTATCAAAAAGATAATTGGTTATTATCTTGACTGGTCTTTATAATCTTTATTACACATTTAATTATCTGGTAGCATTAACATAAGTTGAGATTTGGGCTATGTATTTGGGTTATTCCAAATATTTCTGCCAGAATCAGAAGTGAAATTATAAACTCGAATTTTGAAATTGTAATGAGCATGAGATATGCATTTGAACTGAGACATTTAGCTTCTTCAAGAAATGATAAATTTGCTGGATAAATATCCAAGAACTGTAGCAATCTTGTTTCTCAATCCACCTAGTTTTACACAAAGTCTGAAGTTTGATTTTCTTGTTTTGGAGAAATACGTTTTTAATCTTCTCTTTCATAAGGTTTGATCTCTTACTGGATTACCAACAAATGTATCTACTTCAGCTATTGTGTCAAGTGTTTGTCTAATACAGTAAACAGAGCATAATTTTGAAATTGACAGATTTAAACTAGGTGATGTACAAAGCATATACAATACTAGAACTATTGTTTCAAAATTCGCGCTTGCACAACACGTACCTTTCCTGACGTATTAGCTCCGCGATCGTAACCTTTCCCACGAAGATTTGAAATATCTACCTCTAAGGATCTGAATTCTCGGTATAATAAAGCTTGACAATCTTAAATCTCTTCACTTAAATCTTTAAACAGTACCTTTCTTTGTCTACAAATCGCACACATAATGCTAATTATTTATGAGGCTGATGTTAGCTGTTTCTATTAAAAACATAGAAAATAATTTGCTTCTTTTAACCACTTCAACAATTTTTTTCTCAATAACAGTGCCACAACAGGCTATGAGGTCAGTTTGCGTTGTTTTACGTCTAAGCTTTGAATTCCGGGTAGCATTTTTAAGATGGTTTTCCAAAATCTGATCATTTGCATCAACTTTATATTTAAGTACTCATTTGAAATTTCATCGTTTGAATTATTGATTGATTCAGAGGATTCCATTTCCAAACCAATAGTATCATCATCTCTATGTTGTCTTAAAGGAATATTTTGTCGACCACACAAAATAATTATTGTTTTTACAATCGGAGCAAGTTTCATTCTAATTTCGTCCACTGTTTTTGCCACTTCATTGTTAAGTCATAACGTTTTCTGCCCTACCTTCAGGTACTTTTTAAAGTTAGTACATAAGTGCCTTCTCCGCTACGGAGTTTGGCAATCATAATTGCTATTCGTATCTTTGAAGCTGTTGCTTTAAATAATTTTAATTGAACTGTTTTATGATAATTATTATCAAAATGCCCCCTCAATATTTCACAAGCTTTCTTGAATTTCCGAAAGATCTTCGTAAATAAATGTTACGCGATTTTGATTTGGCCCCCTCTTTAGACCCGAACATAACATACACACGGCAGTAAGCACCTTCATGTTTCTTGCTGTAAGATAGCCACGGGAATTTATTTAACCGCATATGCTGAAATTGTCTTGACTGTCCCGATTCTAATGTTTTTGGACATACTGTTCATTGTTTAAAATGTGGAAAACATATTGTTGCATAAATTAATAATTCAAATCAAGCATTCTGCGTAATTTAAAATAATTACCCAAAATGATAATTTATAGCAGTGATGTTCATTTGCTAAACTCCGGACAATTATTGAAGTCCTTAAAAGTTAATAGATCTAAGTGCCAAAAGTAAAATTGTTGGGAAAAGTAAAAAAACTGTACAGTTTTCAACAGAATACAATTTTATTTACAAAAAGTGGTTTTAATCAAACAAGTTAATGTAAATAGATGGTTTTGTAATTTTTGTACAGTTTTACAAAAACGAAACCGAGAAAATGCATGTTAACCATATACTTTTTCAAACAGATCCAAGTCCATTAATAGGTTTCACTTTTAAGAGATCCAAGTCCATTGGTATGTTTTATTTTCTAAAGATGTAAGTGTCATCACAGAGTATTTCAAAGTAGAAAGCTCTGTTTTATTCATCAATGAAACCTAACATGCTTTCTAAGTCCTTTTTTTTTGTTTTCTGCTAGTGGAACCTTTGTTGGTAGTAAGCTCCATGGAAGCTATGTATTCAATAGAAATATTCTTCTTGAGTACGTAGCATTTTTTGTCAAACCCATACAGTCCGCTAAATGTTTTCTTGGTAAATACATATCCAGGTTCGTATTTATCAATCTTGAAATACGACACTTTCGATATCATTAAATCTTTACTGTTGATACACATTGCAGATGCTTCGTCAAAGTTAAAAAATATAAAATCCACAAGGAAAAATTCCTGTAGCTGGCTGTATACCACGTATAACAAAAAGAGGTTAATCTTTGTAAATGGGTATATTTATTTAAAAAACCCTTAAAAGGGCCACATCAATAAAACA